CGCCCCCCTCCCGAATTCCCATGCAAAAATGCATACAGGTTTATTGCCCATTTCTGTCCGCCCCCCCCCTCGATAGCTCCTCATCCCCACCCCCAAGTCCTTTGATGGCAGGACGCCAGCGCAGCACCAAGCCGAAGATGGTGAGCCTGATGGAGACTCCTAGGGCCGGAAGGGACTCATATTTATGACGGTCACAGTGTCCCGGGGTCAAGTGTTCCCATTTGGCGACCTTCCGACAACCAGCCAATGGGAGCAGCCAGACGCATTCAGGGACCACTGGGTTCACTTAACAACCAGCGGTGATGTGCTTAACAATAGTAGCAAAAGGATCATAAAGCCCTGGTGGCGCAGTGCTTAGAATGCAGCATTGCAGGCTGATTCTGCCGACTGCCAGCAGTTCGATCCTGATCAGCTCTAGGTTGACTCAGCCTTCCGTCCTTCTGAGGTGGGTAAAACGAGGACCCAGATTGTTGGGGGCAAATAGGCTGACTCTGGAAACCGCTCAGAGAGGGCTGGAAAGCACTGTGAAGCGGCATATAAGCCTAAAGGGCTATCGCTAGTTCTACAAAATGGGGCAAAGGTCACTTAACTGCCTTGCTTAAGAACAGAAATGTCGGGCTCAGATGTGGCCTTAAGTCAAGGACTACCTGCTTGGATGGGGGGTTGGACTAGATGGCCCACAAGGTCCCTTCCAACTCTGTTCATCCGTATCTGTATGTGTAATCAAAAGGATTTGGTTGCCTCCCAATCTGATCAAAACAAACATAAATAAATATCCCGCCTGTGCTTTTTGCCCTCTTTCAAACACTCTTCCTCTTCCCCCACCCAGGTCTCCGTGCTGACAGGCATCATCAAGATCAGCCTGAAGACCTTCCTGGAGTGCGTCCGCTTGCGCACCTTCGGCCGCTTCGGCCTGCAGCAGATCCAGGTCGACTGCTACTACCTGCAGCTCTACCTCTGGCGCTTCGTTTCGGACGAGAACCTGGTGCACTTTCTGCTGGACGAGATCGTGGGCAGTACGGCTCACCGGTGCCTCGACCCCGTGCCCATGGAGCAGAGCGTGATCGAGGTCATCTGTGAACGCGGGTAGATGGAGCCTCAGTTTGGACCACGCAGGAACCGTGTTCGTCCAGCTGCTGGGGGAACTTTTAAGAGGTGTGGCTGCTGGCTGGGGAATTCTGGGAGTTGAAGTCCACACCTCTTAAAGTTCCCCCAGTCTCTTTATTTTAAAGCTCCCAACTCTTATTCAGCAAAGGACCTTCTGAAAACCTCTATGAAGAGAAAACGTTTCTCTTTCTACTGTATGGGAAGTGATGGGGAGAAAACTGGGCTCGCCCCCTGGATGTGCCCTGCACCTTGAAACTTTCAGTGGTGGGAAAATTCTGATAAAAATAAATAATTTAATTCTCTGCTGCCTTCGGAGTACTGGGTGAATTATTGCAAGCCAGCTGATCCCAGCACCATCTGCCAAATTGCAACTCTGAGCAAATACAACCCTTGCCCCTCTCTGATTTTTTTACAAGGTATCCTCCCTCGCCTGCAGTAACCCATTGCAACCAGCTCGTAGGTAAAAGATTGCAAGTTATTTGGAGGAAGCCCCATCGGTGAACCATGCAAGATCAATTACAGGTAGTCCAGATTAGAATAGAATAGAATAATCAGGAGAGGAGAGGAGAGGAGAGAGAATAATAGGGAATAGAGAATAATAGAGAATAGAAAATAGAATAGAACAGAACAGAATTCTTTCTTGGCCAAGTGTGATTGGACACACAAGGAATTTGTCTTGGTGCAAATGCTCTCAGTGTACATAAAAGAAAAGATACATCCATCAAGAGTCAAGAATCATCAGCTACAACACTTAATAGGGTTACAAGATTTAGTGACAATTCAAAGTTACAGTGGGCCTGAGAAAAGTGACTTACGACCTTTTTTCAGAGTTGCCCCACCGTTCCAGCATCCCCACTGGGTTCTCTAAGGGAGCCACTTGGAGGTGTGTCTGTGTCCTCGGGGTCACCTGAGTGGTGCAAATGGGGGTGTGGAGCCTTCTTGGAACAGCTGAAAGGACCGCGGGGCAGACTGGAGATAGACGGTGTGCGTTGGGGAAACAAAACCACCACTTCGCCAGTACACGGCACAACACAGGAGAACAACCAACCCCGTTAGGACAAGGTTCAGCAGCCATCTTTATTTGGAAAAAAAAAAAAAGGACCTTGCTGTCTTTTGAAGACAGCAAGGTCCACATTTTGTACAGAGAGGACAGCTGGTTTGAAAGAGGGATCATAGAGGCCATCGGTGTCAAAACTGACAGCCCCTCCTCAACGGAGGGGGAGGGCTGTGGCATCACCTATCTCCAGTCTACAACACGGTCCTTTCAGCAGTTTCCAGAGGGCTCTGCACCCCATTTGCACCACTCAGGTGACCTGAGGACACAGACAAACCTCCAGGTGGCCTCAACAACCCTCTAAAAGGATGTAAATGACCAGTTTTCTGCAAGGAATATAAATCCTTCCATTCCCCACCATCCTGCCAGAGCTGAAGAAGCTTCTTGGACGAGAAGCGAAACGTCTTCAAAGAAAAACCAAGAAAGTCCAGTTGCTTCCTGAAAGAAGCACCTTTGGGACAGCCAGGACCTGGATGACGGAGGATCTCCATCAACATTTCTGGCCCCTTCTGCTCAGCCTCATGGTTGCTGTCTACCAAGCGCTTGACTTACAACAAGTTCATTTAGTGAACCAGGTACAATGGCCCTGAAAAATGACCTATGACCGTTTTTCACACTTAAGATGGTTGCAGCATCCCCACGGGTCACAGGATCTAAATTCAGGTGCTTAGCCGCGTCCTGGGGGTCACATGATCCCCTTTTGGGATCTTCTGAGAAGCAAAGTCAGTCTGTTCTGACCCAAACATTGGTCCAAGGAAGCAAACACGAAACCTTTTAATGATCCTTTACGAATTCCATTCCTCCCCGGTTAAAAGGCTGTTTCAAACTAGTTGTCTGATAAGAATCAGCCTTGTCAAGGTGGTGCAAGACTGCCAAGAACACTAGATAAAGTTGCTAAGAAATATTTCAAACACAAAAAGTCTCCAAACACAAACTAAGAGAGTCCAAACATTCACAAGGCTTGAGTGCAAAAACTTCTTTGCTTCCTGCAAAGAACTCTGGTTTCTCAGCTGGCTTTTATCTCTTGAGGGAGGGGCCATCCCCTTGCAGCCTTACTCCCAAGTCGCCTGTTCTGCTGCAGCTGCTCTTTCCTTTGAGCAGCCCTGGGCACAGGCTCCTCTGGGGCCTCTTCCTCACTGCTGCCAGCCTCCACAATCTCCACTCCCTGATGCTCCTGGCCCATCCCTGCATCCCACGCAGGCCCCTCCTCTGGGTCCTCACTCTCCGAGACCTCAGCCGTCCACACCTGCTCCCAGCGAACCACATCACAGTGGGTAAGCCAGATTCACTTCGCAATCAGACTAACTTAACAAGGGCACGACTGACTTGCCAACTGTGGCAAAAGGTCCTAAAATGAGGCCCTTCACAGCTATCTTGCTTAAGAACAAAAATGTTGAACTCAACTGCTTCAATCAGTGTAGATTTCTAGAAAATAATAAATATATTAAAGATGTACTACTTTTTATTATATCTACAGAACTGTTTTAGGATAGATTTGGGAGGAGAATATGAATCGTTATAAAATAAACTAAGTAAATTATAGTTATCCTGCAAAATATGAATGAATAAAATTATAGTCAAATGATTAACAATGATACTAAGGTATTCAACGTTTGATTGATAATATGAGCTATTATGCAATGTAACTGTAACTGAAGACTATGAAATGGATGCACACAAAAAAAAATTGTAAACCAACCGGCACAACTGCTTGTATATATCTATGGAAGAAAGTTTGTTGTTTTGTTTGTTTTTGTCTGTTTTTAAAAAACCAAAAAAATTTACAAAAAAAAAGAATAGCAAGAATGTTCAAGAATAAATCCGAAAAATGTTGGAAATGTCATCAGATACCTGGCTCATATTACCATATGTGGTGGACTTGTGCGGATGCTAAAAAATACTGGACTAAAATCCACACGTGGTTGGAAAAAATGACAAAAAAGCATATAGATTTGAAACCAGAGATATTTTTATTGGGAATTTTACCTGAAATATATAGTAAAGACTTGAAATACCTGACTATAAATGTATTAACAGCGGCTAGGATTGTATTTGCTAAAAACTGGAAAAATGAGAAAACACCATCACAGGAGGAAATCATTAAGAAAATATTGGAACGTGCTGAAATGAGTAGATTGACATTTGAAATTAGAGAACAATATAAACAATTTTATAAAATTTGGGATCTATTCTATCAATGGTTAGACAATAAAATATAGTAATGAAACATGCAGACTTTTAGAAAATAATAAATATATAAAGATGTATTCTTATTTTCTGAGGTTTCTTATTCTTATTATATCTACAAAATGATTCTAGGATAGATCTGGGATGATAATCTGAATTGTCATAAAACAAGTTAAGTAAAATATGATCACTTTGGAAAACATGAATAAAAGTATAGTCAAATGATTAATAATATTAATGTATTTAATATATTGATTTAAAATACGAGATTATATACAATGTAATTATAATTGAAGATTATGAAATGGAAGCACAAAACAATTTGTAAACCAACCAGCACACTGTATGTACATATATGGAAGATGATTTGATGTTTTTATGTTTTGTTTACGTTTGTTTTAAAAACCAATAAAAAATTTTAAAAAAACGTTGAGCTCCATCATGGTTTTGATGTCTACCTGTCTCTTTGGGTGTACAGGAGACGTCTAACCCTGCACACCCTATTCTTCGTTGCGACCCAACAAGCCACTGCAGCGATTCACAACAACTGTGGCTCTGGGTGTCACTAACCAGAGTTGCGTGCTTTTTTAAGGGCCACTCATGCACTTAATAGTCTCGCACAAAGTCTGAAATCAAGGAGGAAGTGATCCTATCTTGGATAAATGGGCAGAAAGTTACTTCCTCCAGAGATTAAGAGTTTCTCCTGTAACGAGGTCCGTGTAGCATGTAATGCTTTACCCAATAATGGAAAGTCAATTGGTGCATGTTTGCCCCCCAATGTTGACTCAGGGTTTTATTTGAGCCCTTCCTAAGTATTTGACCTGGGAAGACCTGCCAAAGGAACACACTCTGTGTGTATGTGTGGAGCAACAATCACAAAACGGCTCGGGGTGGAGAGGGAGAATTTCCCTGCCACTTCCCTGTTGCGCAACTCTTTGCTTTTTGTCCAGTGTCATCTCTGACGTAGGGCTGGGAAGGAAGGGTGGTTCCAAAGGGCATTTATATGGGACACATTCCAGGGCCAACTGTACATCCACCACAGAGAGACCAACAATTGCCATCCAGAAGTGAGAGCATTTGTTGCGTTCCACACAGCAGCATGGATGGCTTTCTCCAGCAATGGCCCCAGTGGAAGATTCACAAAGGTAAGGGGGTAAAAATTGAAATTCTGCATTGCTTTTTAAACTTGGGGAGCACACCACTCCCCAAGTTTTTGTTTCATATTAACTAAAATTTGGCTTTGTGGTTTAATAGTGTCAACCCCCCCAGGGTGGTTTATAAACCATGGCTTATCAGCTAATGATCCCAGCCAGCAGTGTTGGATTCAAGACATTGTGGCTAAACAAACTTACTGGCTTAAATGTGATGCATAAGGCCAGGGGGTCTATTGAGCGTACATGAATTAGAAAAGGGAGGAAAATTATTAATGTTTTAAGTTGGAAAGAGCATGTAGCACGTTGCCAGCACTCAGAACATAGATAGATAGAATTCTTTATTGGCCAAGTGGGATTGGGGACACAAGGAATTTGTCTTGGTGCAAATGCTCAGTGTACATAAGAAAAGATACATTCATCGAGAGTCCAGAATCATCAGGTACAACACTTAATAATAGTCACAGGGTACAATCAACAATCAAATCATGCTAGGAAACCGTCACTATAAGGATACCAGCGACAAAGTTACAGTCATACAGTCACAAGTGGGAGGTGATGGGGGATAAAGACTGATGAGAAGATGAACAGTAATAGTAGTGCAGATTTTGTAAATAGCTGGAGGGAATTATTTCTTTAGCAGTACTCTTGATTACTGGGCCACTTTATACTGCACTGGTGAGAGACCACACTTGGAATTCTGCCTCCAGTTTTGGTCTCCATATGGTATTAAAAAGATGTTGAGACTCCAGAAAGAGTGCAGAGAAGAGCAACAAAGAGGATTAGGGGACTGGAGGCTAAAATATGAAAAAAGTTTGCAGGAATAAGGTATGTCTAAGACTAGTGAAAAAAGGGATGATAGCAGTCTTCCAGTATTTGAGGGACTACCACAAAGAAGAGGGAGTCAAGCTATTCTCCAAAGAACATGGAGGCAGGAGGAGAAGCAATGGAAGGGAATTAATCAAGGAGAGAAGCAACTTGGAATTAAGGAGATACTTCCTGACAGTGAGGACAATTAACCAGTGGAACAGCTTGCCACCAGAAGTTGTGTGTGCTCCATCACTGGAAGTTTTTAAAACATTGGACAGCCATTTGTCTGGAAAAGTATAAGGTTTCCTGCTTGAGCAGGGGGTTGGACTAGATGACCTACAAGGCCCCTTCCAACTCAGTTATTCTGTATTCTGTATCCAGTTTCGATCTCCATGGTGTAAAAAAAGACGTGGGTGGGTGCAGAATGCAGAGAAGAGCAACAAAGATGATGAGGGGACTGGAGGCTCAAACATACAATGAACGGTTGCTATAGCACTGGAGGTTCTTCTGTACCACTTCTCTGAAATGGTCTAGGGTCTCCTGCTTTTGAGCAGGGGGTTGGACTAGAAGACCTCCAGGTTCCCTGCCAGCTGTGTTATTCTGGTATGTGCACAATAACATTGTACCAAAGAGGAACCAAATGCATGACAGTACCTTGTGTTCCTATTATTACCATGTTCTGTGGGCATCATTTAGCAAAGTTAGAAACATGCAGAGACTGTTCCCTTTAATGGCAATTTAAATGATGTGAGACAATTTTTACTCTCACCCTTCTTCAGATTCTAGCATACCCAATTCACAATTCGGCCAAAGTTCAGAAAGAGTGGCTAGCTGATAACAAGGCTCATCTCAAATGATAAATAGTTTAGCCATCATTTCTTGAAGTGGTCATCAAAGTCTGGACTGGCACATTATGCTACGCTAAACCCAAATCTGATTGTTTTTTCCCATGGCACTAAGCCAAAATGAAAAACAAACAAAGCATAGTTTAGTGCCATGGAGGCAACAAGAAAGCTTTGCAGACAAGGATGGCAACTGTAACTTAAGACACCCATTTATTGCTAAGTGTAATAAGGTGTCCTACCCTGGGGCAGGGGGTTGGACTAGAAGACCTTTAAGGTCCCTTCCTGCCCTAAAATTCTATGGTTCTAACACATTAGACCAGTCTTTCTTAACCTTGGCCACTTTTAAGACTTCTGGGAGTTGAAGTCCACACATCTTAAAGCAGCCAAAGTTGAGAGAGACTCTATTGGACATTAATCCCACATAGTGGAGTAGTACGGTCTACCAACAAGCCATGTGATCAATTGTTAAGGCTCCACTGACCAATGGATTCCCAGAAAGAGAAATTTTATAGTGGCGATACGGCTAGGAAGCTAATAAATCCCTTTTTCTCCCTTCCTTCCTTCCAGTCTCCATCAGCGCAATCGTGTTCGTCTCGGCAGCCTTGAGTTCGGCCACAGAGGTGGTTTCCCGATGCTCCATGACCAAAATCAATAGCCACATAGTGGCCAACTGCCAGGCCCAAGGCCTCAAGGCCATCCCCAAGGTGGACGTGTCCACTCAGGTCCTGCTGTTGAATTTTAACCTCTTCTCCCTCCTGCAGGAGTCTTCCTTCCCACAGATGAGTGCCCTGAAGATGCTGTCGTTGGGGAAACAGTTGGGCCAGCCTCTCCAGGTTGGGGAGAGGGCCTTTGCAAACGTGCCCAACATCACCTTCCTAGACTTGGGAGGCAACGCAAAGTTGTCACTGCATCCCAAAGCATTCCAGGGTTTGACCAAACTCAAGGTCTTACTCTTAGACACTAGCGGTTTTGACAACAGAATCCTGGAGCAGGGCTATTTCCAAGACCTTTTGTCGCTGGAAACCTTGGACCTTCAAGGAAACCAACTTCATCGGTTGAATCCAGATCCCACCTTCCAAAGACTGAAAAAATTAAGCGTCCTCCAGCTGAAACTCAACAAAATCGAGGCCATTTGTGGGAATGACCTCCAATACCTCAGAGGGCGCCATTTGACCATCCTTGACCTCTCCTCCAATCGCCTGTCAAGCAATGGTTCTTCTTGCCCCAAACCGTTTCGCAAAATCACTCTGGGCACCTTGGACCTCTCTTCCAACCCGTGGGATGTGGTGCGACTCAAAACGTTCCTCAAAAACCTGAGCGGCACAATGATCCAGAACCTCAAGGTGCAACATTCAGGAGCCATTGGCAGCGGCTTTGGGTTCCAGAACTTGAAGGACATTTCAGCCACCACATTCTCAGGGCTGCGTCACAGCCACATCCGGACTTTCGACATGTCTCATTGTTTTCTCAGCACACTGAACACCTCCGTCTTCTCAAACTTGCCAGATCTCACCACCTTGTTCTTGAGATCCAACCAGATTAATAAGATTCAACCGGGGGCATTTTCAGGGTTAAAGAAGCTCCAAGTTCTTGATCTGTCCAACAATCTCCTTGGAGAACTGTACACAGGAGGACTGGAGGATTTGAAGTCCTCTCCTTTACAACGTCTGATTCTGAAGTCCAACCACATTGGAATTGTTCAGCATAACGCCCTGGTGGGTCTAAATTCTTTGCAGTTCCTTGACCTGCAAGACAACGCTCTCGACCAAGTTCCCAGGGGGAATCTCCCTTCCTTGCTGCATCTTAATTTGGGACAAAACAGGATCCGGGACACCTGGGGCATAGAAAAACTTGGCCCAAACCTGATCCGTCTTAATCTCTCCTCCAACCGCCTAAAGGACCCGGCCAACGTCTGGAATCATCTCGCCAAGATCCCCTCCTTAACGTTTCTGAATCTCTCCAGCAACCACCTGGCAAGTTGTTCGCGCGTTGAGAAGTCTCCGAGGCAACTCACGCAACTGGACCTTTCCCACAACAATCTGGGAAGCATTTGGGCCACCCAGAAATGCATGGACCTCTTCCAGCATTTAGAGAAACTCCAGGTGTTAAATCTCAGCTCTAATCACCTTCAAGACTTGCCTGGGAAACTTTTCCAGAGTTTGGCGTCTTTAGAAATCCTGGACCTTGGGGCCAACAGGTTGCATAAACTTCCAGAACAGATTTTCCATCATTTGAAATCCCTGCGTAGTCTCAGTCTCCATGGAAATCCACTGGTGACCCTCTCGCCTTCCTTGTTTCAAGCAATGGGGAAGCTGCAATTCTTGGATTTGGGGGAATTGTCCTTAATTTGCACCTGTGACCTCAACCATTTCCAGGACTGGCTGCAGAACCAAAACACAATTGTGAAGGCATCTGAAGTTCTCCTGACTTGCATGCACACCAGCTCTAATTTCCAGAGGCAGTCTCTGAGTCAGTTCCTACAGAACAACTGTTAGACCAGAGGTCTGCAACCTTTTGGACCTCAGGGACCAACACATTCATAATTTTAAATCCCACGGACCACCAATATGATTGTTTTTTTAAAAAAAGATAAATACATTTGTAAAATAATGATCAGAGCTTCCACTTTATATGAAATGCATCTATTTAATAAAATTATAAACGCTTATTTAATTATAACAAAATCATAAATGCTTATTTAATCATAACAAAGTCTTTAAAAGGTTGTTTAAGTGTAACAAAATTATTATAGTGTAATTATTACAAAACAATTGAAGCTTATTTAAGTATTACATATTTGTAGTATGATATTTGTTCGTGCTTATTTGAAATAAGTTTATGGATTTGGGGCTCCAATGGACGTTACTGGAAGATGAAGAGTTGTTTTTAATTGCTGTGACAGATGAAAATGTCTTTTCGCACAAATGTGTTGTTGAAAATTGAATAAAAATTTTCATTGCTTTTTCACTCATCAATGGGTATTCACTTTTTACGGAGAGCCAGAAATGAGGTCTTGAGATGGATGATTGGAGCTTAGCTTTGAGACGGTCGCCGGATGATAGATCAATGAGGGCTTTCTTTTTCATGCATACTTAAATTGTTATCTTCAATGTTTGCTGCAAATAGATCTATTATCCACATATTGCCATGTCTGGGATCTTCTTTCTTTGGGTAATAACGACCAAAAGATTCTGTGAGTGATTGTAAGTGCTGTTGAACAATCGCTACTACCTGCCGGTTGAGATCTCTCTCTCTCTCTCTCTCGTATATTCATCAAAATTTGAAAACATCTGCAGATCTTCTTCAGCCAACTGCGTTTGCCACAGTAATATTTTCCTTTGAAAAGCATCCATTTTACCTCCTAGTGTGAACACGTCCTTAAGTTGTCCTTGCAAAGATATGTTTACTTCATTTAACAACGATCTGCCAGGTATTCAAGCTTGGCTATCCACTCATTGTCAGGCAAGAGTTCTTGAAATTTTGGATTATTTTGCTGGTAGAAAAATAATTTGACTTCTTCATGAAAGGCGAACAGTCGGGTTAGTATTTTGCCCCTTGACAGCCATCTCACCTCAGCGTGAAGGTGAGTATATTCAGAACCCATTTAGAATAGAATAGAGCTGGAAGGGACCTTGGGGATCTACTAGTCCAGCCCCCTGGTCAAGCAGGAGAATCTATACCATCTCAGACAAGTGACTGTCCAGTCCAGTATTGCAGGCTAACTCTGCCAATTGCCAGCAGTTTAATCCTCATTTCACAAAGTGCCACAGAAGTTCGAGAATTGAGTGCTTTGTGTTGAATTTCATTTACAATGTTAGTAACATCCGATAATACTTCGTGTAGTTCTGGGGACAATGTTTTCATCGCAAGTTGCTCACAATGTATAATGCGGCGTGTAGACAAAACATCTGGGTGACCAACATTTTTCATCTTTGCAACAATTCCTGAAAGATGTCCAGTCATGTTTGTAGCACCATCTGTACATATATCCCAATACATTTTTACCATTCAATTCCGTGTTCCAGGAAATAACTATTCAGCGCTTCAAAAATCTCCAGAGCTAGTTGTGCTATCCAGCAAGTGGAACAAGTAAAATAGTTCTTCTTGGAACTCTCCTTCACACTCAATCCTCACAAAACAAAGGAGAAATGCCTTATTACTCATGTGTCTATTTTCAAGTTGAATTGCATAAAATGGTGAATTTTTCACCATTTTTATAACTTGATTTTCAATATCTTCAATTGAATATCTTCAATTCTGTGCATGACAGTGGTAGCAGACAAAAGAATTGCTTTCCGTTTCTGGACAACCCACTTTCCCAAAACCTATTCACCGGCTTGTAACATGCAAGCCTTAATTAATTCTTCTCCAATCATATAGCTTTTTATTTTGTGCAATCTGAAGCGCTATCAGATAAGAAGCCTTTAATAAGGACTTATTTTCAACAGTAGTTTTTGCCAAAGCAATTATTTGCTTTTGCATATTTTCATGCGTTCTTTGAAAATATTCAAGTAATTTGTTAGCTAAATCTGGGTGTTTTGATTGCAAGTGTCTTCTGAGTTTCAAAGGTTTCATGCCTTCATTGGATAAATTCTCAGAACACACAACACAAAGCGGCCATGGAGCCAGTTCACTACCAGGTTGTTGAATAAATCCAAATTTCAAGTAATTCGGATTATATTTTCTTGAGTTTTTTCTTCTTTCCGCCTCCAGTTTTAATGTTCTTCCTAATGGTGCCTGACGAGGACTGTGGAGGTTCTGATTCACTGATCAGCTCACAGTTAAGTGAAGTATACATATTGTTATCTATATATATATATATATATAAACACAAAATACCCCTCATCCATAATCACAAAATCTCCAGAACCATAAAGCCTACTAACTTGAAATTTGGCCCGTATGTTCCTCTTGGCTTCTAGGGGCTCACTAAGAAAGGATTTTTCAAAATGACCATCAGAGCATTTAGAGTATTTCCTATATTATTATTAACACCCTCTGATGCTAAGGAGTTCTACTCCCCCTCCCCACCTGAAATGTTCCAAATGCAAAACACAGAGGAAAGTTTCAGAACACCAAGCAGCTTTAGTACAAAACAGTTGAGCTAAGCCACGCCCAGGCTCCTTGCTGCCTCCTCCTTGCTCACACAGCAAATACTCTTTCAATTTCCAAACAGCCCTCAACTCTCTCACACACTGACAGGACGCTAGCCAGATGAATACCAAAGGAGGCTGGTAGGCAGGGGCACAATTCCCCCCCCCCCCATTTTCCTCTCCAAAAACTAAGCCCGATTACATAGTTTCATAGCAAAGCACGGGTATAGTGCTATTGCTACGCTTCTCATTAGTAACATTATCTTTTGGATTACTAAAGAAATGCAAAATATTCCTTTGCTTTTTTTTCACTCATGGAAACCACTAGAATCTAAAACCAAACAAGGATAGTTGTCAAAATCAAATTATTTGATGCCATGAAATATTACAGACAAAGAACATACAGTTAAGGTCAAACTTACTTAAAAAGAGCACCTGAGAAATAAATAAAACGATCGGATGAGAACTGGTATCCTCGGAGCAGGGTGACTGTTATAATGGTCGAAACAATATTAAAGCAGGCGGCTCGGCAGTGGTTGCCTCATCTTAAGACTACCCTGAGGTCACGCTGCACCCCGTTTCCCCCTTGCTAGTGCAGTTTGTGAATTTAGTGCAGGGGTCCTCAAACTTTTTAAATGGGGCCAATTCACAGTCCGCAGACTTTAAAAAACTTTAAAAAACAAAATAAGTAGAATAAGTAAAAAGTAAAAGTATCTTAAATTTGACAAGCTGTGAGTTTTCTTATACTATTTTGTGCATTATTTACAAGTATATAGTTTATGCGACTATAAACATTTAACTTACATATTACTTATCCTTAATTCATCAACCATATAACTATCTTTGTTCGATCCAGTCATACCATTTCCCCCAAATTTTATAGTATTCGGCCTCCTCTCTCTCTTTTAATATCAAAGTTAATTTATCCATCTCGGTACATGTCATCATTTTCTCAGTTGTACAGGCTGTCTCCTGCTTCCTTGCTTAAAGACGAGTCAATCAAAGCCTAGTCCAGCCCCCTTTCCACTGCGCATGCCCAGTTTTTGATTCAGTCTTCGTGCAGAGGACATGAGGAGAGAGTGCTCAGAAAGAAAGATAGAAAATATAGGATCAACGCTTTGGATTCTTCAAGAAAAAAAGAGAGAAAAGAGGAAGAGTGAAAGTCAGCAAACCGCGAGTAAGCGAAAGAGCCGGGACTTCATCCCAAGATGGGAAAGCCCACATAGCTGTTTGGTGTTAAGAGAATAAGCGGCGGCAGCCTCAGGAAGAGCAGGCGGGCTCTCGATCGGCTAGCAAAGAAAGAGGGAAAATTGAGTAACTCCCCGCCTTCCCAGAGCTGCACAAAGCCTCAAGCGCTCCCCTTAATTGGGGCAAACACAGTCTTCGGCTGAGCAAGCTTCCAACACAGCCACACAAGCCTACGCAGGAGAAAGGGGGGCTGGAGTCCATGCTCAGGCCGGTCTGAGGATACTCATAATCGGGGCATCTGTTGGCAAAGGCCAAAGGGAACGACTAGGGCCGAATGTTCTGAAAGGGAGGCAAGCCCGGAGGAGCAGCCTGCCCCCAGTCCCAGCAGAGAGCAAAGCGCGAAGGGACCCAGAGAGGCGGGGAGACCTTCCGAAAGGCCTCCCAGCAGGGGGCCCAAGGCAGACGAGAGGGAGGCACTAAGGAGGCAAAGGGCCCCGGATAAAGGCTTCTCGAGGGCAGAAAAGGAGGTGGGGAAGAACGGAAGTTCCCGCGCTCCAACAGGCAAACCAATGCAAGCGAAGTATCAGGGAAGGCGTGCAGCACCAGAGGGCACGGAAGATCCCACAAAAAAGGCGTGCCATCCTCTTTGCAGGTCGTGGCCTTCCACTTAGTAGTCTTTTATTGGTTAAATAGATCCAATCTTTTGTCCAGATTAACACTGCTGCGCTGTAACATAACTCCCAATTTGGAAGACCCAATAATCCTCTGCTTTTTACATTCTGTAACGATTTTATCTTTAGTCTAGGTTTTTTGCTTAACCAAATAAACATCAGAGCAATTTTATTGAGTTCATTAAAAAAAAGATTTCTCTAGTCTAATAGGGATCATTTGAAATAAATATAAAAATTTGGATAGACATTTTTATGGATGCTACTCTTCCCAGTAAAGGTAATTGCAATTTAGCCCATAATTCCAAATCTTTGTTTGTTGTAGTAATTTATCAGAATTATTCTCCTTTATTATTTTACATTGTGTGGTCAGCCATATACCTATTAAATTTTATTGTTTGTAGTCCCATTATTCTATTTGTGATTCTGTTAAAGTTTTAGACAAAGGGTTTTCATTTTCTGTCTATTAATTTTCAGACCTGCTAGTTCCCCATTTTTCTAATTTGCTAATTAGCTCCTTTACATTTCTATCGGGTCTTTAATAAAGAAGAATACAAATTACGATATGTCTGCGAAAGCTTGTAATTTGTATTCTTCTTTCCTGACTTTTAGTCCTTTTATTTCCGGATTTTGCCTAATTCGTCTAAGTAAAGTTTCAAGTGATAGTATAAAAAGCAGAGGAGAGTGGGCAACCTTGTCTGACTCCTTTTC